GGTGTCTGTCCAGTTCAGCCTTGAACGAATTGTGAATACAGTGTCACCTTTCTAATGTAAGTGCTATGGTCTAGGAGAAAAGAAAGAAGTAATATTTTGTGTTTTGAACGAAGTGAATAGTATGAAGCAATACATGTGATTATTGGATGGTTAATGAAGATCATGAAAAAATGGAATTTTATACTGCACAGAGTATTCTGCGAACACTGAGAAGTTCTCGAGATAGATGATGATCTGTGGACTATGAGGTTCGTCCTTGGACGTTTCATCACCAGGTCAGGCAACTTCATCAACACTTACTTCATAAAGTCCTAAGCCCGAAAGTCATTTCACTGAGTCATACCACTTTAGCAGTGGTGTCGTTGTGGGTAAGAACTTGTTCCCATTTTGATGATGTATTCAAAAGTGGCCAGACTATAAAGACAACAAAGATATTAGAGGAAGCCAGTAGCTCAATTTCAGCCCCATAAGCAGATATTGTTCAGTTCATCTTGCTAAAGGCTTATGAGAAGCTTTGGATGCTGCTGACAAATGAAGAAAACGTTATGCGCTCTGTTGATAGGGAGTCATTGTTCAATGATACTTCATTGTATGAAGCAACCATTACGTCAACTGAAGTAATATTCAAATGTCACTTCCGTTTCAGGTGATGAAATAATTTTGCTAAGTGACAGGTTTGTACCTCAGGATGAGGATAATGGTAGCTCAATGTTCTCTGGGCTTGATGATGAAGTTGCCTGACCTGGTGATGAAACGTCCAGGGACGAACCTCATAGTCCACAGATCATCATCTATCTCGAGAACTTCTCAATGTTCGCAGAATACTCTGTGCAGTATAAAATTCCATTTTTTCATGATCTTCATTAACCATCCAATAATCACATGTATTGCTTCATACTATTCACTTCGTTCAAAACACAAAATATTACTTCTTTCTTTTCCTCCTAGACCATACCAAACCACAATCAATCTTCTAAGTACATGCAGAGGATATTTACTTTCATTCGGTTACCTGACGCTAGTTAAACTGCAATAATGACTAAATACTAATGTTGAATTTTATTTCGGATCACGTAAGATAATCCTAAGTACTTGTTAGTATTAACATAGTAATAGTTCGAAGAAAAATACCGTGTACTGTTTCTTTTTCGACTCTTTTATATCAAAATATATCAAAAGGGACAGTTTGCCTTAAATCTACATTTTCGCCTTCTTGTACTCATGACTTCAATAGGTAGTAATATGAAGTTTTATAAACCGATAGAAATTGCATCATGTTTGGCATTTAAGCTTTTTTAATACAGGAGGAGGTCAAATCTCTTAGTTTCTGCAGAATCGGTTTTAAGCAATGAGGCTATATATATGATGCAGTGATACATTGATACAGTATTATTTGATTCAAGACTTTTTGAGAATAAATTAATACTGATAATCCTATCAATGTAATCACACCACTTTCATAAATCCAGTTTGATAGTTTAGTCACTGCATTTTTGCTTTTATTGGTAGTAGAATTTTCCATATCTCTGGTATATACTTTGCATCATTCCTATTAATTGTGCAGGTTGTTGATGTGTGTTAATGCAATGGCAGAGTGTTTTTCTAGATAACTGATCTTATTGGGGTTTGCCAATAATCTAGAAAGATACTCGGCTATTGCATTAATACAACCACACAATAAGATGGATGAAATAAAACCACTGTACTTAAGTCCGATAGAATTAGGTGGAGAGAGAGATTGATTACTGAATCTTTGTTCATCGAATCAACAGGCAACACATGTAATAGAAATGATGCAACACCTGTACCAGAGATATGGATAATTTTACTACTAACGAAAACAAAGAATATGAGGTAACAGGACTATAAAAATCAGATATTGAAAGGAGTGTGATTACATTGATATGATTATCAGGAACAATTTATACTCGAAAAATCATCATTAAATAGTACCGTATCACTGTACACTATATGTCAAATAAACAAATATAATATGGAATCTGTCTATTTGTCTATATTGGATGATTACGTAGTCAAACTGAGCCATTGACTTACATATGTAGAAATCAGAGTCAAGGGAACATATTAATAAATTATTATTACTGTTGTCACGTAATCCGTAACCAATACTGTTGGGACTGTAAGTAGGATATGCCACACCATATCTGTAGACTGTATTCATTGGAAGCTGTGCGAAGTTTCTGGCTGAAGAATTCTGAATATATATATATATATATATATATATATATATATATATATATATATATATGCATATGCATATGCATATGCATATGCATATGCAGTAAGAACAACCGTTTAGAATAAGATGAATTCATTTGGTTCCATCCAATTCTCGTCAGCTGAACACGGCCTGAGTCAGTAAAAAATTAACAGACATGAAGGCTCTCATGAGATAGGCTTCCTTTCTGATGTCCACGTTTGGAAGACGAAGTAAAAGGTTTTATGCATCCAAATTTATGAGGTCTTTATTGTTTTAATAAAAAAAGTCCCTGAGACGGTCATCAACTAACTTAGTGAGTTACATAAGCAGAGACTCAACCTTATAAGCCCAGCCGTATATTGGTCAATAATGTAATTTGCTGCTTTATATGCTGTTTAGGTACACGGCAATTCATATAATGTCTTCAGACTGAAAACGTTAACAAAGGTTTGTTGGTTAGCTAATCAGTACTCGCTAGTCTGATAATGGACAAAAGCTTAAATAATGCATTTATTATAGAGATAAAGACCACTGTCACACTCTCATATGTTTTGTTTTCAAGTTTGGGGGACAGATATTTATAACTGTAGTGACTCATGTAGGAGTTTTGTCTAACCAGCATTTTACCATTGGTTTTCGCTTTTTATGATAGACAGGAACAGTGAGCAGTCAAGATTGATGAAGTAAACCACTGCTGACATCCATAATCCAACTGTTATGTTGCTGAAGACTTCTGGATGTAGCCAACTAAAACCTGCTGCTTTCCTCAGTTCCATGTATCTGACTTTGAAAGGCAGAAAATGAACAGAAAATTGGATATGATACGCAAGCTGTTGCGTAATTTACCAGCTATACAGTTAGAAAATAGCAACTCACTGCATTTAATAGCTCTAGTTATTCACACAAACATTTGCCTTGCTTGCTGGTATCTCATCTCTTAGGTGAGAGTGAAATCATACTGGTTGGTGTTGAGTGTGAACCCACCTCTCAGTGCTTGATTCATAGCTTTACTACTTCGAGTTGTTTTTATTAAAGGGAACGAGTTTAAGACGACATGGTTACCTTTCATTGACTAACATTATTATTAATATTATCTGTCTCTTGGATTCATAGTGGAACATGAAGTTTCAGTAGCACGTCTCCACTCCACTCCACTCCACTCTATTCTCTGCTATCTTTTGAACATGACGCCACGACTGCCCACAAACCCTCATTTCTTCCTCTCACGATCTCCTCCATATCACCCTCGCCTCCAAGCCCAACTCGTCGCTTCCCATCTGGGTCCCACTCGACAACCTCGCCAGGCACGTGATGTCCTCAGTCGGCCTTCTCAGTGTATGCCCAATCAATCTCCACTTCCTTCCATTGCATATTTCTTCAGTGATAAGTTCCTCGTTGATTCGTTGCCAGAGTTCCTTGTTGATTATTCCTATCATTCTGGCCATCTGATCTTCAGTAACGAGCCAGCGTAGACAGTTGTTGATGAATGTCTGTGGTTTGTTGGAAATCCCTTTCCCAACACGCCAAATCTCTGAGACATACAGAAGCACTGACTTGACGTTGGTGTTGGTGTTGAAAATCCGGATGTTGTCCCACATGTTGAGTGCAGTGCAGTTCAGAAGATCTCCACACTGGTTTCAGGCTAATGAACGCCTGTCTTGCTGTCTTCCCGATATTGGCTGGCTTTGACGTCCTCGTCTGTGCCTGTGTCGCCTGTAGTTGAAAGAGTGCTGCCTAGGCAGGTAGGTGAAGGAGGCTACTTCCTTTAAGTTTCTCCCGTTGATGATGATTGAAGCTTGTTGTCGTTATTGTTGTTGTTGGTGTTGGTGTTGGTTGGGTATCTTCATCACCTCTGAGTTCTCTACGTTCACTTGAAGTCCCGTCTTCACTGCCCCACCTCATCTCTTCTGTCAACTTGTTAGTTTTCGCCTGTAGATCTTCAGGTTTGTGTGACATTAAACATAAGTCATCAGCGAGATCTAAATCTTCTAGGATCTTTTCCGCTGTTCAGAGTATTCCCCTTACCCTCTTCTCGCACCTCACTGTTTGTTGCATGATTCAGTCCACTACAAGCAGGAACACTGGCTAACATTGGCAGTCTAAAATGCTCAAAGGTTGGTAGAAAGAGCATAGCCATTTGTTGAAAGTTTTATTTCATAGAAATTTATATCTGAATTTCTAGACGGTCATCTAGTTTAGTTCTTATTCTGCTATTCTGCTAAATATTGTAGCTGACTGTTCTCCAGGTGGTAGGTATAACTAAGCTTCAAATTTACGTACTTACCAGATTGTATCCTTTAGGAAATAGAACACGAGCAATGAAATGTGGCGTTTACAATATACTGACTTTTATTTGGAACTTGGGGGATGAAAATAAATGATACATCAGACTTCATATTTGTTAGTGCTAGTCAAAATCGCATCATTGACTTTTACGACTGTACTAATTTAATGTATCGATAAAAATTTGTCAACGCTTGATTAAAAGATATTGTTTTGGGTTATCATCATTTACTTATCCTATCCATTTCTTTCGAGAAGAGCTGTTACAGAAGTCTTTTATCGGTTGTTTCTACAACTATGGCTTTTGAAAATGGAGGTTTTAATGTTTTCTTAAAGTTGTGAATAGTCTGTAGTAATGAGTATTATTCAGCTAAGACATCTGAGGAGTAGTTTTGTTTTTAAAATAAAGAATGTCGGAGATTCTGTGGAAAATGCTTCAGAATTCTGCTGTTTCCTGTTTATCATTTTACGTAAAAATGCTTTTTTTCTTCAACAGGGCAAGTTGGAAGAAAGATTACCATTTATGTCAATTATTGCACCAAAAAGGTTAAGACAGAAATTATCGACAAAATGGTCCCATATACAATCAAATCAAAATAGGTTGATCACTCTGTTTGATGTACATGCAACATTACGTGATTTACTAGTCAGTCAATTGAAATGGGTTAATACTGATTATTCTTTTAAGGAAATACACAGAATTCAGTTAAATTGGAAAAAAAATCCTTCTCGTGGTATATCACTGTTTAATCCGATACCTATACATCGCAATTGTGATGATGCTTATATAAGTTCACATTGGTGTGTTTGTTTAAATTGGATTCCAGTGACAAAGGATTTTAGTTATTCAATGTTTTCTTCTAGCTTTCTATCAAGCAATCCTGTAATTAAAAGTACTAATGCAGTTATTCATAAAATTAATGAAGTTATTATCAGATATAAATCACATCCTACAACAAATAGTCGGTGTTCATTGCTTAGTCTTCATCAGGTAAGTATTATTATAAATATGTACTTTTGACTTGATTATGCTATGTTAGCACAAATAACACGGCTGAAAGTACTTTTTTGTTAAAACTATAGGTTAGATATGTATACCTGTTAATAATGTTAACTGAACATTGAAGTAAGTGTAATTTAAAAAATCTTTAGAATGCTAGAAGTAAACCATAACTGCAGTTATTTAAGTAATCTTCTGACATGGAAAAGCATGGTTATTTCCCAAACTTTTTGAGACATTAGAAGCTGATAACTAAAGGTCTTCAGTGACATCGTATAAAATCAAAACCATAGGGTAGGTTTATAGTCCGCTTTTAGTGAACCACCACATCAAAGATGTTGCATATTGACGTTAATTTATAGTGATATGAATTTCTGACAGTGAAAGGATTACTCTGAAACCATTGGGTCTCATTACTAGCATATAAGGGATCAGAGATTTAGTTGAAGGATTTCATCAGCTTTATGGACTTCAAGGAGGGGCGGTGAAATACCGTTTATTTTTGAAGATTCAAACTGTGAAGAAATTAATTAAATTGGCTGGAATAAAAAATAACTGATTATTTTTCAACCTAAATGGTTGATTCCTTAATACAAAGTAAGTTAATAGTCAAACAACTGGGATGTATTTTGAAAGAGGTTTTAAGTATCCACTAGTTAAGACACAAGCGTTCGATCAGATTACTGAAGATAGTTCAAACAGAAGCTCTGCGAGATGTTGAAGAATAACATGAAGAAATACATAACTAGAGGGAGAACTATTTGTAGTCAGATTTTATCATAAACTGAATGCATTTAGAAAACCTGTTTAAATCACCTACAAAAGAACGATCTTACTGCATTAGCATTCGTCTGAGTTGGCCGGATTAACACTTTTAAGTGACTATGAAATTATTGATTTACCACACCTCAGAAGCAATTTGCAGATGAAAGGGCATCGGAATATGAAGTTGATGGCTGATGGAGTTAGTCATGGATCACTTAATGGGATAAATAATCACTTTTCTATAAAAAGGATTTGACTATGATGACACGGATATGTACTGCTCATCAGATACAATGAAGTCAGTAGACAATAATATTAAGGAATCTAGATGGTAAATAATTCCCTGTCAGTAACTGAAAGCTAACATTTTCATTTCGTATGGTAACTGTTTCAAGAAATGACTAAGTACTGAGTGTGTTTTCCCCTATTTTGGAAGTGTTTAAGGGTGTCAACCATCATTATATATGTATTAGAATAAAATTTAAGGAAATAGTTTATAAGGGAAGCTTCATATCATTTAGTGGTCAAAAGAGAGCAACCAATTCCATGTTCTCAGGTCCTGGATTACCATTTCACCGTTTTAATTTATAATGGGTACACCATTAAGTTATCATGCAGCTGCTGAACAGCAACCTGAATGTTTTTGACTTGATTCCATTTTCATCTAGAACAATAAACTTCTGAAGACTAACTCCCAATACAAAAATATTCTATATTCGAAATGACACTTAACTCGAAAATCCGAGCCTTAAAATGTTTAAAACAGCCTGACGGAGTTCTGCAGGAGATCATTCACACCGTCTATAGATGTGTTGGGCATTAATTCCGTATATATATATATATATATGGCATGATAACTATCTTATTTGCTTGGTGGGGGCTAACAGCAGAATCCAAGGTAAACATTTCACCCTAATTCGAATACGTTGGCTAGATATATTTATTCTACTAATAGAGCTGCTACCTATCACCCACTGTTTTAAACTCCAGAACTCCACTAGCCAACTTTAAGGGTCACTAGACTCACATTTTATGTAATGATTATAAGACATTAGGAACTACGCAGTCCATCACCGGCAAACAAACAGCATCATAATGAAGGTCACGTATGTGTAAAAAAACGTTTAACTTGATTTTTCGCAAAAAGTGCATATTTGGTAAATAATATCAAGATATCCAGGTATATAACGAGCTAATGTGCCAAAGGTTGGTGGTTAGTTCAACTTAGTTAAGTAGAAAGCGCAAGAGTTTGGAAGTTTTTTAATGCTATGCTATTTGAGCTGGCTGATTTATTCTTGAAGCTTTCACCGTCTAGAATGACAGTGGGAGCTTCTCGAGTAAACCATGCATTCGGCAAACACACTACTACCAAAAGTATTGTCCTGAGTAACAAATATTCTCCATCAATTTAGAAATCATATACTGTCATCATTGTTATTCACTTTCAGATTAAATCAGTAGAACAAGCAATACTTCCAAGAGATGTGATACGATTTATTCGTAGTCAAGATGAAGATGGACGCATTCCATTGTTCCAACGTCAACAAAGTTCACAGTGGTCACTACTACAGTGGTTCAAACAACTAAATATATTTGCTATTAATGACAATATTAATCGAAATGATTTTATCTATGACAGGATACTATTACGCATACATTTGGTGGTGAAACCTGAGTTTGCAAATTTTGAAGCAACTGTAAAAGTTAATGTAGCTGGAAAGAATTCATTCGAATCTTTCGACGTAATGGACATCAGTCGGATGGATGTTTATGAAAAATACAATTGGTGTTTATCAGATAATGAATGGGCAGAGTTAAAACAATATTGTATCTGTGAAAACTATACTTGAACAGAGACATTAACAAAGGTATCATTGTGAAATGAAGTCAGTGTATTCAAGAAAAGAAATCTGAAGTAAATCATCGGCTAAAGTTGAGTATACAGATTAGAAACGAGGTTTATACCTGATATTGTTACATGAACAAGGATGGAAGTTATTCCAAACAACTCATTGCAAAAAAACCAACTTGTAAATAAGAATCATGTATTTATATGCTTCAGTTACTATTTTTTTAAGGCATAGACTTTCAGAATATATGAGTGCAAAACTTTAATACTTTATCAAGTTTCTTACAAGACTACAGACTGAATATCTGGGACAGTGACTTCAAGAATCGATAATTAGCTATGATACAATGGTTTCACGAAAAACTCGACGAAGAAGCTTTGGTTGGGAGTGAGGCCGTAATGGCTGAATCTGTTATCCATTGAAAAAGTATTTTGTAGGCAAATACAGGACGATTAAATAATAAGATTAGAATGAATGTATTGCTATCAAACCTGGTTTGTAAATGCGATGGAATCTAAATCTGATTGAGTAACAAATAAAAAGACACCAATGAAAGGCAATTTTGAATCAGTTCAGGTTGAAATCAGGTACTACGAGCAATATTGTATACTACTTAATGCAAGGATAGCACTTTAGTAGTGCAAATACCTACGGCTGGACAGATTGAACGTTAGTTTGCCGCTTTACTGAGGTGATATTTATTCATACAGTTGCTATAGCTTCTTTCATCAAATACATGTGGTAGGAAAGACTCCACACCTGTTCCACATATGCGGAAAATCCTACTTCCCATGTCACAAAGGAGTGGAAGGAATCAGAATATTTTAAGCCATGTCTCACATTAAAAAATTCGCCTTTCATATGACTATGAACAATAAATTTTATCCGAAAAGGAATAAAGTGAACGACACTGTTTATTTGCTTGACTCATCTAATAAGTAAAGCAGGCGGAATTGCAATCTACCATAGTGTTTAAGCCTTACTTCTATAACGCAACAGTTTCTGGTTGAGATACCAATAACTGCAGATAAAATAGGTTACCGTTGTTGTGACCAATACAGACTTTTTAAAGATCTGCAAAAGTGACCGGAAATCCTAACAGGAAGTTCTAGTTCATACTAGCTAACATTCTACTATGTTTACTTCGAAACACCATCCTTATGCAAAAGTAAATTCTAATTGCGGTTACTTCTAAATCATCTTGTCTCACTTAGGAAACTGGACCAAAAATATATTGTTTGCCTGCCTCAGACGTCTGTCTGTAGAATCTTTCGGACAACTATTAATCTTGATCTAGACAACTCATTAACCACACTTCAATCTCACAGAAGTTGAGGAACAGTAATAATATTTTAATCTATGACTGACTTCAAGTTAAAAGACTAAAATATGGTTAAAGCAATTATTCTTATCTGAAAATCTCGTAATTCATTGAACGAAAGCTTCAAACAGCCATGTCATTTTTTCGAAAGCAAAGAATAACTGAAATGCTGTCCCAACACCCCTACTATACCAACGAATGTTCGCTTACATGAGTTTTGCATTGAAAATAAGTTTCTGTATTTATCTGTTTCATATAAAAATGGTTATTTTAACAACAAGTGTTCCTCTTATTTGCATTATCAGTCGGTAAAATTACCTATCAATATGCCTTTCTAATGTTGACAATAAATGTCAAAGAATGTATTTCCATCTTAATCGTAGGGGAATCTGGTCGGTCGATGGGGCTATGGCAAACCTGGTTGTACTAGGCAGAGTAGCAACAGGAATTTTAGAGTACCTCAAAGAATAAGGGCTGTGCTTCAAAGAATAGAGACTTAAATCTTATACGGCAGAAAAATCACTCATAGTTAAACCATCTTTGATTAGGTATACACTTGAATGGTCTCTTAAATAAACCTGATCAACCGAAGGGACTACCAAAAAGTTTTACCAGGCTTAGACGATCTAATCTCTAGGTAGTGCTGTAAAATAGTGATGAAGATGAAAACATAATTTCGGTTTAAAAACGACAGTCCGAAGCCGTAGACTGTAAATCATAAAAGAGTAAGGGCTGAAATCAGTGTTTGGCAGGTTCGAAGTCTTACCGTTCGTCCTAAAACTTTTTAATTTTAACTTTGTCTCAAAACAATGAATGATAGAATCCAGTTGGACAGGTGATAAATAATAATGGAGACTTCAGTTCTCAAACTTATTGTAAGTATTTATGTATGTTTATTACTTCACAGTACTCCAGAAATAACCCGTTTTTCGGAGCTGGCTTCAGATATACTCTACCCAGCCAATATTCAAGTAGAATCAACCTTAAAAGTTTGGAGTAGATCATGGGGGATCAGTTTGCTTTCAAACTATTTTTATCAAGAAGTGATATCATTTGGGAAACTGTGCGAAACCAAGGATTAATGAGTAACGTTTTCTGCCCGTTTTGCAGAAACAGCTCCACAAGGAAATGAATTGAAGGTAGAAATTCTGTAGGTTTGTTGGGAAATTATAAACCATGCTGACCAATTTAGGACTTGCGACAAAAGTTCACTGGTCAAACTAGGCGGTACTCATGTTGTATCTCGAAATAACTGAAGTAAAAAAGGTGAACTATCGTATTCCTACCTAGTATTGTTGTGTTCGACACTAAACCTCTGATTTCGATATTGCCTAGGGTAATAAATATGCATTACGCCAAAGTTTCGAACCAGGACGAGATAGATTCCTAATATTCCTTTGTAATCGAAACCTTTTCAGCTAATTTCAGTCAGTAATGAAAATAATTTTGGAAGCATTGAAATAAATTGTGCTTCTTGATATTATGCATTACTTAGTATGATCTTACTACTTTAGAAGATATGTTTCAAGTACCAGTAGAATAACAGCTAGAATCCGCAGTCAGAATACAAAAGTACCTCTTTCTATCAATTTTCGGTCAAAAGTTGTGATCAGTTCACTGATGTATTTCTTTTATGTGCACCTGAGATAGATTTTACTTGGTGACACTTTAAGGTGCTAAATATTATTTTCCCTGCTATACTAAGCATCTTCAAGGTACAGGTAACTTCTATCGACGATGATGTACACGCTTCTTTCAGCTAGAATGATCACTATTTATACTATCCAAGTATACTTCATTCATGGTCTTGATTCGCACATCATAAATAAGTAGTTGATGGACAGATGGTAGTGTAACTGTGAATTTATTGATAAATGGTTACCTGTGGTGTATAATTTGCATGACGGTAAGTCCAGTTGGAAAAGCTAATCTGTGCATCCATTACTAACGCATAAGTACTTAACAAAAAAACTGATATTTTCTCAAGTGCTTGTAACAGGAAGTGTGTTTATAGCTAATTAGCGGTTGGCCATCAGCCTAAATCAGTAAATGACAGCTGATCCTAATCAGGGTGAACAATGAACGAGTTGTCGAAGTTACTTAGCACAAATATATTTTAATGAATATTTACACACATTATGGTGTGATTTAGTTTTGATAATATTTCGAACAAGATTGCTGTTAGTGGTCATACCAATTGTTGGGATTATTTATTCACATATTTGCACTATGTACATTGTTTTCATCTTTTATGATGGGCACTTTTTTTATCCATTTTTATGTTCCATTTCGTTGACAGTGGTGCTGAGTCACCTTTGTTGCGTGTGCTAGATGTGACATGTATGAATATGTAGAGGTCACGTCTAGTTTTGGTACATAAGTTAACAGACAATATTTGGTTAGACCATAAAGTTGAATCAGTTGGTGGGAGTAGTGAACCTTCATTGAATCAGGTAACTATTACATGTGTTGCTTAGACCTAACAGCCAACTGAATGTTAGGCGGAGAGTGTTTAAGTCTTCAAAAGGTAAGGACTGCCAGTTTAGAAAATGGCATCAGTCTATGATATGTTGGTCTGAGCCTTGTTGGAAAATGTGAACTTCCCGCTTCGAGTGGTAGCCAAAATTGGTGGTTGGAAACTTTGGGTAATTTGGTTTTGGTGCAGGTGTATTCACAAATTACCCTCACACTGAAATGCTATTTTACATTTTGTAATTTTTTCATCTTCCTCTTTTATGGTGTTCTACAAATTTTAATGAAATTTTCGCCTAACTTGTCCTTCATCTTGCTGCCTTGTGTCTTGATTCGAGGTATAACAAATTGGGTCGTTATGGCCTACTAACAGGTTCCATATTGATATTGACTGACTTTTCAACTATGAAAACTTTCCTATTTCTTTTATAAAACTTTCGTGACGGTTTTGGTCATCAGAGAAAGGATATAACTTGTTTGTCAGATGACGTATATCAGTGTCATTTTCACTGGTTTGTTAAATTACGCAATCTTACTTTAAAACTTTTGTCAAAGTGAGATTTATTACACTGAATCTTAGCTGCTTGATTTTCATACCGTCAAAAATCATTTAATTTTGCATTTTGATTAGCTTCATTAGGCCATTGTATATCACAAAACATGACCAGCGCATGGATTATATCTAATTATTCTGTTTGTCTAACTAATTCTTACAACTTGTGTGATAATATTTTTTTCTCTGCCACTGGATTTGACCTCAACCTGATTTTGTGAACTGCGGTAACTTGAATCGATATCTAGTTGATGTACCAGACCATATATCTGCTAGCAGAGTTCATAACAGGTTGGTTAAATAATAATGTGATTGTTGATAATACTAAGCAGTAGTTTAAGGTGAAACAGATTAGTGAAGTCGAAAACGGTAACCAAGAGGATTCAATTCATGTATTCAAACTGATGAGTCAGATTAGCAGGATGGTGTCAATTCACCTTCAAAATATTTTCATTTCATTACCCTTCTAAAGACCCTTTTTATACTTAGGAAGTACAAGTTAACGAAATTATTGATTACCAATTGTAATTTATCACTGAGTAATAATTATTTATTAATTAATGCGGAGACTAGAAGAATAGAAAAGAAACACAAGTCAACAAAAAACAAAACACTTCCCGTAATCACGAATGATGCTTTTTCACTGTCCAAAAAAAGTGAAATATTATTTGCTTTTTATTGACTGACTAAAGAGTAAATATCATTAATGACAATACACAAAGTTAATAAATCGGTAATAATGACGTCATGTATGTGAATGCATAAACGCACGTACAGCCTCTCTTGATCATCTTCTGTTTGGTCTAAATAAGTCATATAGTTATGCTTTGTTTAGTTAAAATTCCATCGAAAAAAGCTGCTAATAAAAGATAAACTGCATTATATTATTCTAAAGAAATACTGATGAATAGTGAGAATTAGGGGTGAGTAGAAGAGGCTTGAGAAAGAGCAATAAAATACTTCAATTAGCATTAATAGATGATGGTCGTAGTGAGATTGTGTTCGTTCTTTCGGATCGGATTTCGATACTCAATATCAATGCAGAACGTCCATGAAAGAGACATAAGGTATCTTGAAGGATGTTAACGAGTAATTTACTGCTTAAGGATTAATGACAATGAAATATGAGAAATTAAAGGGACTAATGGGTAAAGCAAGGGTAATATTGTTTTGTATGTATTCCGTTTGAAGTGTGATCTCAAACTTTGTGGTCTTAACTGATTAAAGTAAAAAGGTAAAAAAAGGAGGGACATTCAGAAACTGAAAATCGACACCTTCCTAATCCTATTTCTTTTCTGGAGCTGATTCAAATGGAGGTGGTAGCTTGATGGTTGATGGCTCGACACCCCATATATCACGTGCATACTCGCGTATGGTACGATCAGATGAAAACTTTCCAGATGAAGCAATATTCATCAGCATCATTCTTGACCATCTTTGTTCATCCTAAAATTATTGAAAAACAAAAAAGTCGGTAAAGAATACAGAGTAATGCTACATCAAAGATGTTTCCCTTTCACGATGCATAGTGAATATATATTATTATTTTATACTTATACTTCGAAGGACTGAAATGTTTGCTAATATTACTCTGAAAAAATATATATCTTTTGGATAATCTTGACCTAACAAGTAATGATAATTGAATATACGGTGGTTTGTGTATCTGCCTTCTGTCTGTGAAAGTTGTGTGAGTTTGTTGACTAGTCTTCGAAAGCATTCCTAAATATCTACTTCTACGTGCACTGATCCCAAAAGACAAAGTCGAAGCAGCTATAGAACATATCAGTAAACTCTGTCTTAAAGAAGAAATTTATAGAATGGTCAAAAAGTTGCACAACAGGAATTATATTGAAGATCTTAAATGTAAGCTGATACAAACAGTTAGTGAAAAAGATTATGAGCTTCTGGTGGACAGTTTCAATAAAGCAAGATCAGCCGCATTCAAGAAATCCAAAAATACTCAGATTAAGAAGTTCAACAAACTTATGGAAGAAAAGCATGCAGTCAACAGTAATGAAATTAACAATAGCATATCACCGATGATCGATAAGTCAAAGTGGTTTGTCAATCTCTCAAGTAGAGTCCTAAGCTCAACAGAAGTGAAAGTGCTAGAGAATGGTATTAACTTCAATGTAGCGGTTAATGAGTTCAAACCAGAAGATGACACTCCCAAAATAGAAATAGCGTTAAGTTCAATAGATAAGACAGTTGCAGATGAGGTAAGAGCACAGTGTGCTCCAACACTGAAACGACAGAAGAAAATGAAATCTAACTTACCCAAGTTAGAGAGGGAAGCTCTCAGGAACCTTCAAAATGATAACAATATAGTAATCGCCAAGTCGGATAAAGGCAACTCAATAGTTGTAATGAACAAATCTTCCTGTTCGAAGACTAGTCAACAAACTCACACGACTTTCACAAGTAATGATAATATTCGTAAAAAGCAGTATATTCTGATTCTTATTCCAACACCACAGGTCTATTAGTTCAATAATTGAAAATTTGTAGATTCGATTCATCGGTAAGCTCGCTGATTCATTTATTTTCTTCAAGAGATAATTAATACTAAACATCTACATCCTTAGCATTCAGTTATTTCATAGAAAATTTTCTGTTAATTCAAACAGTTCACCGTGTATGAGAAGCATGATCTTATCAAGTAGCATTCTGTAACTAACTCGTACACACGACCCAATGGTTAGATTGGTCAACTATAACTTGACTCTCAGGCCTCAGCACTAAACGATAGGTTTGAATCTTAGAGCCAATATAAATTTTCTCAAGACTTCAGATAAGTTTTAATAATGAGTGCTGACAAGCACAAATCTAAAACAGGTATCCTTTCCTGTCGATTGATTCCTAACACCTAATAACTTTATTTGAATCCTATAAAATTGTTTACCTGGTTACATGTTGGTGTATATTTATCACTTCTTATTATTCTTCACTGACTGAGAAATCATACATGGATAAGAATAACTTAATGTAAACAAATAACAGCGGGTGCATGTCCTATATGTGTTTGTATAATGAAGGAATCGCGAAAATACTACAGATTACGTAACTATTGGCATCAGTGGAATGACAGCCAAATTTTAACTTGATATATATATATATATATATATATATATATATATATATATATACATATATATATATATATATGCGTAAGAGACTGAATAGCCTCAGAATGTTATATAAGTTTTCATAACAATAGGAATAGCTAATATCGTAGGAAAACATAGGAGGAGAGAAATGAAGAACAGCTTTATAAATAAGTTGTTTCAAATACTGAGTCATCTGTAATGTATTTCGAATGATGAAATGGTTTCAAGGCAGTTTTCATTAGAGACTAGCATTGGGGAAGTCAACCACTGAAGACCATTAGACACACTAATTTGAGATGTGTGGTGAGTGTGTAAGTAAGATTCCATTCGACTTCCAGTTCATTTGGTCTAGATTTCAGACAGTATGTTATTATTTGTACAATGTATTCGAAAGCGATGGCCTAAATTTTTTGAGGTTTTGTCAGTTAGCGTTTCATAAAACAGTTAATTACTGATATACTGTAATCGCTTACTTTGTAAGCCTCTTCAACTTCCTGTTGGGCACGCATATAATCAGCATAATCTGCGCATAAAGAAAACGATCATCAAATACTAAGGCATTATAGATATCTCTAAAGAGATCTGGATTTTCCGGCGAGAAGTAACCATCACGAATTTGCTCTAAGCATTGCTTCAGTTCTGGTTCCTTATCAATAAACTCATTTGGACGATACCTAAAACAAATAAAAAAGGGAAGGTAAGAGTATACTGATGTATTATGAAATGATGAAGGAGATTTATAGCTCCTGACGAAGATGACAGTGCTCGCGTGTTTTTTCCTTTTTAATATCAACGTTCAGAGAACATCCTTTATCACTAACCTGTTATTGTTCACTGAAGCTGAAAACATTACCTTCAAGAAATTTGCTGGCAAAGTCATTATTTTTAGGCAAGTAGTGTTTGTAGTTGGTTAAACGCTGGTTCTCAAATCCACTTTGAAGTCATTTGAAATTCCCAGTGTTTAACAAAAGCTAAAAACAGGTTTTCCATGGCTTTCATTCAATAATAGTTTTACTGAGCTGTAAAATGACATGATTATAGCTAAAATATCATTTTGTTTGAATCTGGCATTTTCTTAAAACTATGAAGAAAAGAAATCAGCAACGTGAGTGAAAAGTGATAGTGAACGATAATACGAAGAAACGATAGAATGATTACTTAAATCTCAGTGTGTATCATGCCAGGATCACAATTTCTGACTTTAATATTTTGATTTTCAAAGAATCCTTTCATAAATCTCCCAACAAACGTGGCACTGATTAACATATAAAAATCTCAAAACTTCCGAAAATTCAATCATTAAGAGTAGAATCAGTTGTTCGCTAGTCTTGTATGCTGAATTCTCATTGGTTAACTGGAATCGTGTTTCTTTGATGGACCTGAGTAGGTGTCTAGTACACTGTAATGTCCAGCGATATCTTCAATTAACTAGTAGTTCGGGATCGGTAGGCTTCCCCTTTCCATAAATGATTACGCACTTATACCACACTTTCTCTGTTAAACAGAGAAGCTAGATGGAGCATTTATAGATTATATAAGAAAACATTTTATGTAACTCTGAGCAGGGAGATTGTAAGTTTTATACAATAATAAAACAAAAGGTGCAAGGAAAGTGAACACATTAATTCTTTGGATTTATACATATTCATGATTCATTTTTAGATAACAGCTGTGTTGTCCAACAATCAGTAGTATTTTTACGTCCTCAGTGCAAGTGGAGTGAAAGAAATTATTATAAAAAGTGTACAAGTTAAATTTCAATGTTCAGTACAATAATTTCTTTCTACTTTATTCCATTTCACCTAAACAGCTTTCATTGACATGCATTTGTTAAATATTGACACAAAAATACACAATCAAAAGCCACTCAAAGCCCTTATGTGAATGCATCACCACTTAAGGTCACATTTGGTTCAAAGTGAAATAGAAATAGAGAAGTAAAAATACCTGCAATGTATCATACGATATATTATGATACACCGTAAAGAAAGACGTATATCATACGTTTATAATTCACTCTTTGTGATTCTGAACACAAACATACAATTCTCGCCAGAAGATTGAAACCTCCAGTGACTTACTGTTAATGTGATTAAAAGCTAAAATAATTATTATCTCAGAGACAACATCAGTTTGAATTGGAAAACTTTTTTGATCGAAAGGCTCTAATAACTAAGGTGGTAAGACCAAATAACTATTCTAAACATAAAGAAAGCCGAATTTTTATAGCTGATTCAGGATGAGATACTTTGTGACCGTTTGTTTATTCATTTGAGATGACTTCATGGCAATAAAATCTCATTTGAGGGCAACACTAATTCAATTCTCTAGACATTTAGTCGTCAACATCTGGATCAATATCCCCAAAGAAATATAACATAATTATCTTGGATCGGTTGTATAGCACACTTTTAGGCGTAAGCAAATGCAGAGTTTAGGGACTACTGAAAGCTTTTTAACACAAATAATCTTCAGTGTAAACGTCATTCAGGAGATACAATAATCAAGAATAAGAAGTGTTCTATTGGAAGTTATTCATAGGTGAATAGTGAATAAATTTCCAGTCAACTACTTCAATCTGAATATATGGAAACAGTTACGTGCAGCAAATGGGCTTATTTCTAAACGAAATTCGTTAACTGAATTTATGTCTTTTGATGGGTTTTGTACTCACACTGAAATTCATATGGAGTCCTCAAGGTTTGTTCATAACAATAAGTTAAAACAACCTTGTTGTGTTTTTCACTCATTAGGAAATAATGTATAATGTATAACATGTAAGATATATCCCCCATAGGGTCATGAGGTGATGATGGTCACATCTCATACTACTGATATTAATTCTTAGCGCAGCTTATTATTTTCCAGTTGCTGAAATGGCTATATCAACCCCAACAATAAGTGATTTCTTTGCAGCAATGATAGCACGTAGCAAGGGTTGAATTCTGTTTGTTTTTCAGGTAGCTAGCTTCGAAAAGCCTGATGGGATAATAACAAATTGAAAACCAGTGACTGAAAACACCCTAAAGAACTGAAACGATATCTTGACTGGTTGAAGATAATCAATTATAAGCCTTAGGCCCAAGCTACGTGCCCAATGGCACAGGTCAGTGGGGTGTATTTTCAACTTTAAAGAAATATGCACTGCCTCAGATATTCCAATCAACTTCACTTAATATGAACAAGATATGTATCAGCAAAGAAATATTTCTTTTCAATGGCTTCATTATCAAGCTGTACAGCCATATTTATACTCGGTAAAGTGACAGATAATTGCACTAAAAAGTTGCTCAGTCAATATGCAAAATATACAATCGGTGTAGGTGGTGGTATTCCATTAAACGAAGTTGCAACTCAGGTAATAAAGTCATGATTGATCTCTCTGGTGAGTCTCCTAGTCTATTGATCACCTTTCAAAACAGTCAATCGGCCCCTGAAGGCTAGTCAGTGTGAAACTGTTTACTTTCAGTGACTCATTAAACGATATTTAATGACACGCTATGAACTAAGCCACCTTTTTATCCAGGTTAAAAGTAAGTAACATCAGTATATGTGGAAGCTTTCTGGTTTTTTATTATTGGAGGAAAGGAGAAAAGAATCCTGCAAAATGTAGGTATGCAACTATGTTTCGCCATATAATCAATACACTTCTTAAAAATGTTGGTAATTGGATAATATCATATGTTATGCATACTGACATGCCGTGCGCACATTTCAGGTAGGACAGGCTCTACGACATATTTTGTATGGAAAATAGTTTATAGAACTTAAGACAAAATACTTCTTCCACTGTCCGTAAGTGAATAATGAAATATACATACATGAAAAATATGTTACTTGGTCTGAAACGAGAATTTGTGTACCTAGATGATAGACACTGTGTAATAAAGTCAGAATGTATGGTGATACATAGTATACTTTAAAGTCGGTAAGATTTAAGGTAAATAAAATTCTGTTGTACATTAATACTTAAGATTCACCTCTCCTTACCCCTTTTTGTTCAAAGCATCAACTTGTTCCACAGTCAGACCAAAAACGAACATATTTTGCCGACCCATTTCTTCGCACATTTCTACATTCGCACCATCCATAGTACCAATAGTCATCGCCCCGTTAAGCTTATATATATGATAATAAAAGAAAATAATGATAAATCATTATATGTAATAGTCAAAACTTGCAGCTTTTTATACAAGGTATCGTTTTACAACAGAATATGCTACCACATTCTGATTTAACATTTTCACTGTAGAAGTGGACATTCGAAACAGGGGTTTTAAGTATTTTATATTGATATCAAAATGATTATATATCTATGGAAAATAAACTTTGAGAAACCCAATGTTATCTAAGAATTCAGACGGATCATAAGTTGCTGTTCTGTTATTTGATGCTGAAATTAATAAAATATTAAGGCTAACTGCTATCTCTGGTCTTTATAACTGTTTGCATTCAAATCAGGACGTACGTGTACTGTCTTTAGATATCATTGTTTTAGTTGAACACAGCATTTCAACTAGGCATATCTTTATTTGCTACTGCTAAATCACAAGTTCAAATCATGAGTTTTTATGGTTTTAAGAGAGTATGTCTTTTACAGGTCAAAAAACATGTGACGAAATATTGTACATTTAGGTTGGAAAACATTATGTAGCCCAGAAAATAAGTTTTTAACTGTTGGATAGTTTAGGGTTTATGTGAACTGGGGAAAGACAATACTCTTTCCATTAATCAGACAGACAACGTTTCCCTGGCTAACAGTAGACATTGGCGTTGAACTAATATGCGTGGTTACTGTGCTACTTAACGTAGGCCCTAGAGGTAACATTGCATCCTTCGACTGGTATTCTAAAATTAAAGTGATAATAGTAGTGATGAGAAATGTGGCTAAGCAGTCATAAACAAGCTCAAGGAATAAAAGTATTTTGTTGCATTTGTGGGTGTAATGCTCATTCAGTGACCACATGTCAGTTTAAAAAACCCAAACAAGAGTCGATTGAACTTCATACAAAAATAGATGTTGATATTTAAAAAAAAACACTTTACCAACCTTACCGACCTCGCCTAGGTAACTAGTTACTAGCCGGTCCTAAGCTCGGATGAAGAGAAAGGTTGGGCATACGGCTAGCAACTCTATACCGGAAAACCAATCTAACTTCTAAAGAAACTTCAAAGTACAAAGAAAATATAAAAAACAAAATAAACCTATTCCTCGCTGGAATCGGAGAGACGAAATGATGCCAATTGGTGAAAGCCCTCATGAAGCCAACTGGCCGATGTCTTCCTTCTCTCAATGTAACCCTAACCCTAAACATGGGGACATGGAATGTCTGCAACATGTATGAACCTAGCACTGCTGCACAGATTGCAAACGAGATGAGAAGGTATGGCATAGAAGTGCTTGGAACCTGCGAAAGTAGATGGAATGGAAGTGGGCTCTCCAAACCGTCAATTGGAGAGTCAATAATCTACTCCGATATTGTCACCCAGAGGACAACCACGAGCACACTGGGTTTGGAGTGGCTATCATGATGTCCCCAAGAACATCGAAGGCTCTCATGCAGTGGGAACCAATCTCCTGCCACAGCATCACGATCATGACAGCAAGATTCAAATCAGAGGGAAGGAAAGTCACGATCATACAGGGCTACGCACTTACAAATAATGCCGATCAAGAGGAGAAGGAGGGATTCCACAGACAACTGCAATCAGTAGTGGACAAGAACCCACCCCAGTTGGCGGCATCAAAATTCTAATTTGTGGGGTGACATGAATGCCAAACTCGGAGCGGACAACATAGGAAGAGAACTGATCATGGGTCGAGAAGCTCTGGGTGAAATGAACGAGGATAGAGAACTATTTGCAGACTTCTGCGCATTCAACAATTTGGTGATGGGAGGCAATGTGTACAAACAAACGCAAGGATATTCACAAGGCAACGACATGGATTTCACCAGACCATAGGACACACTAAAAATCAGATCGACTCCATCTCAATGTCAAGAAAGTGGAGACGCAGTCTACTGGACACGCGATCAAGAAGAGGAGTAGATCTAGGTTTCCACCACTATATAGTGTAAGGAACCTACCTTCAAAATCAAGTTGAAAACCTTCAAAGAAGTTGGTGATTGACCACAGTTCAAGTTTCTGACCCAGAACAGAAACTGAACCGAAGGACGAAGCTACAAAGGATATCTTCACGTCAGTTAGCCATGAGGACAAAATGGGCAGCATTAGGCAACATCTGTGAAGGCACGTGCGAGGAAGAACACTGAAACTCTTTGAAAGAGATGTGAAAGGGAGCTAGCATAACCATGTTAGGAGGGAAGAAGAAAGAAGACAAAACAAGGAGTGGGTCCTGACGGACACATGGAAGCTTACAGAGAAGGGAGAGGAAGATGTTGAATCAGAAGATGAACCAGAGCAGTGCAGTGCAGGGATAAACAACGAAAAGAGGAACTGAGTACAACCTACAAAATACTACACTGGACAAAGAAGTGAAAAAAAGTGCGCGCAAAGACAAAAGACATTTCTACAACACATTGGCAAGTGAAACAGAACAGGCTGCTGGTAAGACAGACCTGACAACATTACATCGAATAGCCAAAATACTATCTGGAAGAGATGAACTTAGATAAAACCAATGAGAGATAGTTAAGGAAACCTAGTTACCAAAGAAGGAGAAGAAGAAGGTGAGCAGATGTAGGTTGCCACCACTCACTATGCAGTGCAAGGAACCTGCATTCAAAATCAAGTTGAAAGCCTTCGAGGCAGAAGTTGGTGGTAGACCACAGTTCGAGTTCAACACCCAGAACAGAAACTCAACTCAACTGAACTCAAATCAACTCAGCTCAACTGAACTAAACTGAACTGAACGAAGCTTCAAAGGAAATCTTCAAGTGGGTCAGCCATTAGAAGAGAATGGGAGACATTAGACAATATTGTTGAAGAAACCTGAGTGGAAGGAGACTGAAACTCTGTGAAAGAGATATGGAAAGAAACTTGCATAACTGTATTACGAAGGAATGAGAAAAAAGATAAGGAATGGATGTCGACGGACACATGGAAGCTAATAGAGGAGAGGAGGATAGTGAAGCAGAAGATAAACCAGTGAAAGGATGCACAACGAAAAGACCTAAGTCTTTGCGAAAACTGGATAGGAATCATGCACCAATCCTGTCCACACCAAACAAAATATTATGCCACATCATCCTGGAGAGATTAAGAAATACTCTGCACTCAAAATTACAACCGGAACAGGCTGACTGGCTGCCTTCAGGAAGAACAAATCATGTGTGGATCAAATTGCATCGCTACTATACTCTATGCATCATCATAGAACAGAGCATGGAATGGCAGTCAACTCAACTCAACTCAACTCAACTGAACCTCAACTTCATCGACTTTGAATAGGTCTTCGACCGAGGCGTCGACCGACAAGTAATTTGACAGGCAGCTGCTTCAACACTACGGTTTGAGTGCCACAAATCTTTATCAATCTCATTGAACAGCAGCGATATGCTATATGATGAGGCTACATGCCAAGTGATTCACAATGGAAAGTTCACCGATGCTTTTGAAGCAAAGTGAAGATAGGAGTAAGACAAGGCTGCATACTATCTCCTATCATCTTCCTGATTGTGGTGGACTGGACTAGATCATGCAGAAGACATGTGTGAGGAGTGAGAAGATGAGCATGTGCTGGCTGGACCTATGAAAAGACCCTAGAAGATATAGATTTCGCTGATGATGATGTATGTCTAATGTCTTGTTGCACAAACTCGAAGATCTACAGGCAAAAACTAAGTTTACAGAAGAAGTAGCGAAGACGAGACTTCCTTCTTGAGGACGTAGAGAAGATAGAGGTGATGAAGATATCCAACCAACAACGACAACAACAAGCACCAATCACTATCAACGGGAGAAACCTAAAGGAAGTAGTCTCTCTCACCTATCTAGGCAGCATCGTTTCGACTACAGGCGGCACAGATGAGGATGTCAAAACCAGGATCGGAAAATCAAGACAGGCTTTCACTAATCTGAAATCAGTGAGATCTACTGCAATCAGCACAAAGAACAAGATCCCGATTTTCAACACTAATGTCAAGTCAGTGCTTCTAGATGGTTCAGAAACTTGGCGCGTCACGAAAAGCATTCCAACAAACTACAGATATCATCAACAGCTGCCGTCTACGCTCACTCGATACTGAAGATCAGATGGCCAGAATAATACGAATAAGCAACAAGGAACTCTGGCAACGAACCAATCAACAACCTACCACACAAAAATATGCAGAAGAAAGTGGAGATGGATTGAGCATACACTGAGAAGGCTGACTGGGGACATCACGCTCCAGACCAGGCTTTCGAGTGGAACCAAAGGGGAAACGACGAGTTGGGAGTCCGAGGGTGACATGGAGGAGATCGTGTGAGGAAGAAATGAAAGCTAATGCATAGTCGTACGCTGTCATTGTCATAGACGTACTAATGGACATAACCTTAGGCACGTCTGACAACAAGAACTGACCTACTTCCTGGAGGTCATTCAGTTGATCTGGAGTATGCAGACCACATTGTCCTGCTGCTAGGTAAAGACGCTGAAGAAATGCATGGTTATCTGAACGTGTTGAGCAGAAATCTGAGTGTTTGGCATGCGTTTCGCTGGCGCTTGTCAAATCTAAGATGATGCTTTAAGACTGGTCTGTTGAGACCACTCCCAGTTTAGGGATTTGTAGTGAATTAGTTGAGTGCATCAGCCACTTCACTTACTTAGGAAGTTGCATCAACCCGAGAGGGGTGGTTGCTGATGAAATCTCAGCTGGGATACAGAAGGCCTGTTCGCCACTTGCCAACTAGCTTCATGTATGATGCTGACTGGCGAGACATTCAACTATCTATCAAAAGATGACTATGCTGCACTGCAGTTTGTTTTGTCCTGTTGTACGGCTGAGACATGGCTGTTAAAAGTTGAAAACATGAAGTAGTTGCAGAGTTCTGATCTTAAATCTTTTTGTAGCATTGCTCGCGTTTGGTGGAATCATCATATGAGCAATGTTGAGGTCAGGCGAAGGATACTAAGCAAGACAGGCAA